TGCAGATGGATTAGCAAGAAAGTGAGAAATCCTCGAGAGATACGATCTAGCACAAATAACAAAGTATGTTTTCCTCCATTAACGTGAATATACCTCGATCGTTTCGAAAAGTATTCTCCCAATTAAAGTTACGCGGTTTCCAATCCTTTTCGAGCTTAATATTGCATAATTTTTTAATTGAACGCGACTGCACGTAAACCCAGTGCTCCCCGTTTAAGGGAAAGTCTCATCGCGGGGCACGCGACGATCGTCACGTAGGCACGCAAGCTTCCCTTCGTTTGAAAAGCTCTCTCGAAGCTTGAAACGACGCGATTTCAGCAGTTTTCCGTATCTAGATATCCCACTGATCATTATTGAACACGGAAGCGCGACTGGCGACGAGGAAAAACAAACTACGACGTGGGAGAGACGCTGCTCCCTTTGGCAATCGATAGCTACTTATGGCTGGAAAAGAGTAGGAACGATACTACGTACGAGGGGTCACGTGAAACCATGGAAAAATGGTACCTTCAGAAGCGCAGTTACTTATACATTCACAAAGAATCCAAATACACAGGATACAACAAAATCTCCTCCGATCCACCCGAATAGATCCTCTCTCTTTACACATTTAACAAACCCCTACACCTACCATTCACTTAGCACATTGCGTACTGGTAACGAGAAATCTCGTTTTTATATAAAGACTTACCTATGCAACTTCGCTAATTACCACAGCATTGGAAAAAATATAAAATTTTATTCCTATTGATTATCTATGTATAGTGATATAAGTTGACCTCAATGAGAATTGCCATCCGCAATTCAGTTTTCTGAAAATGATCCGGTACGCAATGTGTTAAGGATTAAACAACAAATCAGTTAATGCCGTGTACGTCGTACATGGTACTCGTAAAGGTTAAAGAACATCCAAATATCAATGACCACGCAGTGAACGGACAGACGCGACACGTTACGAGAATCTAAATCGGCTGTTCGTGGTGCAACCATAGCGCATCCGCAAAAATGCCCCGATAAAAAAGGACACGGACGCTAACGAATTCCACCTGACTCACCTGCGTTCTCCAGGGACGCGGTCGAGAGAGAGAGAGATTTGAAAATTCGAAAGCTCCTTCACGCCATAATCGTTGGCAGCCAGTAGGCCAGCAAGAGTCCGGTTCAAGGCTGACGATGGCTCAGGGAAGGAAACGGGGTACACGGGCACAGGAGGAGAATCCTCAAGGATCGACCGGCGAACGAGAATTTTATCCGACTGCACACTGTTCGTCTCGCAGCGCTCGTCTCAAAGCTCGTAACGGTCTCTCACCGGGGCACAACGTGCTCGCGACACAAACAAAAGGTGACTGAGGGGCTGCCGGTGTCCTGACCGCCTGTTCACCTCGTCGAATTCGACCGGGGGACCCCACCCTCGCGTTACAATAACAATTATTATAGGGACTTTATCGTTCGAGATCCACCAATCGACGAGACATCTTTGACACTAGAACTACTAGTCGAGATCACTGGTTTCTCCTTTTTTTCGCAATTATTATCTTTGAGGCACTGAACACTGGAAATGATTTCGAAATTGCTTTACTTGAAGACTATGATGAATTTCTGAAGAATAATTGTTAATATTTTTATAGGGATTATCGATCGTATTAACCTTTGCACTCGAAGCTTTTTCTCACTGACGTTACCAGCAACTGGATGTAATTTTAATAGAGAATCTGTTTTTTATCGATTATAAATATTAGAATATATTTAATGGCGAAATTTTACAGTTTGCAATGACAAATTTTAAATGGCTCTGCTCCGGAGCCCTCGAGTGCAAAGGGTTAACCCTTTGCGTAATAGGGGTGGCTCATAGCACTAGGTTTCATACGGGAAAATTATAAAATTTGATAATTAATATTATAGTATAATGTATCAATTTGAGAAATACTGAAATAATAACTTTGTTCCTCAATGTATATCGTCAGAATATCGTACAGAATATCGTCTGCATCTCATCAGGAAATGTTTGAATATTTCTAGTGAAAAACTTCCGAGAGCAAAGGGTTAAATGCTCGGTTCCAGTGTTAAATGTTTTCTTACGAGACCCAATTGCGGAGTAGATACGATATATTGAGTTGATTCGTTTTTAGTGTAGGATTCGAATCATGGCGTACAATAAATATTGCGCATGAATGATTATGCTGGAAGGTGGTAGATGGTCATTGAAAATACGAGAACACTCACGGCTAATGTAAGATGCTTGAAAACGTACCATAAAGGTGGTCCGGTGATAACTTAGACGTTGCAGGGAATATTGAAACGTGGGGTGTAATGAAGTACGTGAAACAAGAAGAAAACGAGAATCGAGTTTGACGGCGCAGGACGAGCAGGCAACGTGCGAATTTTAAGGGACCACACGCGTTACGATTTATCGTAGTTTTACCCGAACAAGGGAAACCTATCTTGCCATGGATCTTATCAAGAAATCTGATCGAACCGTTTCGTCATTAAGAACACATCCATTTCAGAGATTATCGTATAAAAATTAAAATTATTCCATGACTTTCTCTCATTTAACATATCAACTAAACAAATAATTGTGTCAATGCTTCACAAAGAAATCTATCCCTAAGGAACGCACGAGTAACATTTAACGCGCGTTCGCAATGGAAATGATATTAATCGGTAAAAGTGAAGAAACCGTTTCCCAGGAAAATTCTCTAGAATTCTACGGAAATTTCAATGCGATTTGTCGTACGACAGATCGATACGTGTATGGTAAAAACTGCGCGAGTTAAGACGACCCGACGGAATCGTCGGGATCCCGACGTGATAATTCGTCGAATGATAAATTGTAACGTGCACGGGTGCCTTTAAAGGAATACAGTGGCGAGCGTTGACAGGTACCCGGAGTCCGAAAAGGAACCCGTGAAATAAAGGATCGGAGAACTTGTCACACGCCGTTGCGTGTATACGTGTGGGTTGGTTGTCGAGCAGCAGCGTGTTTGGTTACTCACGTATGCGCGGCTGTTCCTGTTCGCAGCCCGGTCCCAAGATCCGCGGCGAGCCGTTCACTCCAGGATTTCACGGGGATCGAGCATCCGACGCGACGATCTCACACTCTCGACAATTTAACGGTCAGGGTGTGCCCCGAATTTCCATGCGACCAACGGCACCCGTCAAACGTGAACTACTGCTGCCGCCATCTTGACACGAGCGCGCCAAGCGCCGCGTACCGGTCGATCGCCGAATCGAGAGCACCGCTCCGAGCGGGACAATTCGAAACTATTCTAACGGGGAACCCCATTGCACCGACGAATTTTTACGAGAATCGAATATTTTTTAACACTTCGCGATATCTTTGCGGATGTAAATTCACGTTTCCTGCGATTGAAGCGTTGAGTAGTAGTTTTGCAAAATATGTCGACTGGAAGAGCTTTGTACTTGATATTTGTTACTTTGTAGTAATTGTTTAATTACGAAGATTATTTAGGGGATGGTTTACCCTGTTTTTATGAATAAAGGATATTAAGAGTTTCTATTTAGTATTTCTCGGAAATTATTAATGTGAAGTATTTTTGAAGTCAGTCATATGTGAATGACGTTTATTGTAAAACATGAAGTTTGTTACCGATAATTTATCGATAAAAAAAAAGATGTTTATAGAACGATAGTCTCTGCTTTTCCGTCGGTGTACTGTCTGATATTACGATTTGTCGCAAAATTAAACAAGTTTTATAAAGTATCATTTTATCGGAGAATATTTGATAAATGTACCGTTGTCCTTGAAAAATGATATAATCGCGTGATCTCGAAATTTCAGTGAGAAAGGTTTCGATTATTATTTGCGGAAAGTGTGCGAAATCGAGCGAAACGGGGAACCACGAGTGGCGACATATTCGCGAGTCGATTATTCGAAAACGTGGGTGATATTGTGGAAAAATGATTGGCACGCGGCTGGTTTGTCGATACTAGGAACGTGTTGCGTAATTCTGGTGCAGTTGATAGCGATTGAAGCGAGAGAATAGGGTACGGTCAGGGTTCGCGAATAATTCGCGACGTCCCTGGCTTCGATCGAATCGACGTTTTCGCCAGCGGTAGTAGCTGTCCCTGGGCAGAATGCAACTGCGAGGTGACACGGAATCACGGACCTAGTTCGCTAAATTTGGACGCACGTGCAATTTCTTTGGTACGTAGTTGTCGTGCGAGTGACACTTCTTGTTCGTGGAGTCTTGTTTATTTTGCCGGTAAACAACGATCGCGAAATGGAGCGGAATACTATTAATCGGCTTTTTTCGACCGACTGCTTTCAGAACACGTGCGGCTCGAACCGACCACGTGGGCCGCGTGTACCAAGAAACAAGCGCCGCATCGTCCGGTGAGTGCATTCGGAAAACCTGTGATATCTATTTTATCGGAACAACACGATGCCGAAAGAATGAAACTCTTTTGTTCTGAATAAAACATAATACAGAGGAGAGATTGCCAATCGTCGAATGCACGTGTAAATTACTCTGAAAGGGGTAACCTTGCAAGATGATATTTTGAGAGCCATAAACGACACGTTCACGTAGCTGATACATA